TATTAATTCATAAAAACCTTAAACTGTTAAATGAACGAAAATCTTGCAATAACAGATAATCACACATAATTGAAATTTTACCTTCTCAAAAACAGATACGTAAAAGTTCTATATTTCCACTTACTTCTTAAAGTACTTGCCATTATTACTGAAGCTATACAATATTACTAGACTTCATTATAAATCAACCACGTTATTATCCGGGTTTACGTTATACATGAAACATTCAATAAACTTTATAACGAAGAGCATATATGATGCCAGCTCAATTTCCTTCACGAAGACACATGGAACAATTTTAATTTTGCTACATATCCAACGAAATCTGTCCCAGAACGTAACGAAAGACATTTCGAGGCAGGTAACGTTCTGGCAACGATTCGTTGGCGAATAATTAATCGGTTGTCCACGAGCTGGCAGCCGCAAAAGCCAGACTAGCATCCCGGAAGACGTATTCGAGACGAACGTTCTCAGCCTCATGAAGCATACATCGACCTCGGCGAACTTCGCCGCCGTCCTATGCATAATGCACACCCTGCACCGTGTTGCAGTGTACAGATTTTACCCCCGTTGTAATCCGTGGGATGCATCCGTCCTATCCAAAATTGAAATCATGCGACGCTGGAGGCTTTGCTAGCCAGGGGAACGCGAGATCCTCGCGCCGTACATATCGGTGTTTTACGAGAAGAACATACGTACACGTATAAAGAATACCAAATGCGCGGAGAGACACGTGAAAGTAGTCGAAAATTTATAATAATTATTTATGTTGGACTATGGACTTTTATGGGGGGCAACTGCGAGGGCGCAGCAAACACTTGTTATATTGCCACCGTTGGGATGTAGTGGCGGAAAGTTGATGGTGAAATGTGGAACAGTTTGCTGTGTAGACGATCGCAGAATATTTTGGACTAGCTTGAAGTGTATGACGGTGTTTGAAATTTTTGGTATTTGGAATTTTTGGGTATTTGAGATTATAGGGTTTTGGAAATTTAGAGATGTAGAATATTAGGATTCCGAGACTTTAGAATTTTGAAGCTTTTGAAATACGGAATTTTGGGACTTTGGAATTTTGCAATTTTAGGATTTTGAGATTTTGGTATTTAGAGATTTGGAATTCTAGAGCTGACAAATATAAGGACTCTGGAATTCTAGGGCTGACAAATATGAGGACTCTGGATTTTTAGAATGTTGAAACATTAGGAATTTGGGACCTTCGAACATTAGAATTTGTAAATTTTGGGATTTTAGAATTTTGAGACTTTAGGGATTTGGAATTTAAGTTTATGGAATTTTAGGGCTGTGGAATATTAGAATTATGGGAACAAATTCTAAAGCTTAAAAACTTAGAATTTTTGAACTTCAGAAACTTCATTTCCAATTTCAAGGAATTTGGTATTTGAGAATTTTAGAACTTTTGGTATATGAAATTTTAGGTAATTTTGGGATTATGGGAAATTTGGGATTTTAGGATTTCACAACTTTAGAATTTTTTAAACCTTAATATGTACTTTGCGGCTTTAGCACTTTGGGATTTATAATTATGGAACTTCAGTATCTAAGGATTTTTCAGCTTTTGGATTTTGAGATGTTAATATTTTAGGATCATAGGAATTTGAGACTTGAAGATTTTAGAGATTTTCAAATTTTAGAATTTTAGGATTTTTGGATTTCAATATTTTCAGACTTAAAAAGTTTGAATTTTAGAATTTTTAAATCTTTGAACTGCTGAAATTTAGATGTTCAGTACTTTATGATTTTGAGGCCTTATAATTTTTTAACTTTGCGGCTATAGAAATTTTAAGTTTTGAGGCCTTTGAATTTTGAAAATTTATTATTTAGGGACCTTACTTTTGGGACTTCAAAATTGTTAAATTCTAGATCTTGGAGCTTTTAAATGTTAAAACCTAAAATTTTGAAAATAAGGTCCTAAAATTAAGTTTTCGGAAATTTTTTATTTTGGGAGTTCACAACTTTTAAACTTCAGAATTTTTGAACTTTTTAAATTTGAAATTTAGAAGAGAAGAATTTTGATAATAAAAATAATGCAAAATAGTGTAAATGATATTTATTTTGCAAGACACAATTTTCGTCTTTGTATGAGGGAAAAATGATCGTTCTACACCGACGGTGGCAATATAACGAGCATCTATCGTAATTGATATCATACACATCATATATCATATTTGTTCAAACGCATAGGAATAAATATTTTCTTATTTATACTCTCAGTATTTTGTTTTTCGTTATTAAATTTCACGTGTGATTCTCATCCATTAAATTCCTAAATCTCAACCTCCTAGAATCTTCAATTTCAACTTATTACAAGTTTATACTATAATCCCAAATATTTAAAGATTGATTAATTACGAAATATCAAATAATTCTCGCACAGAACACTTACGTAAACATTAGAAATTTGAAATAAGTACAATAAAGCATTAAATCTTGTTTATATATATATAATATCCATTTACGAATCGAAAATGCCTGAACAATGTAATTTCACTGATCCCTATAAAAACTGATTTAACAACTACAGAAAATCTCGGAGGATCCTACCATCACTTTAAATTGAGAAGCTGAAGCTGATTAAACAATTAGAGAAGGATAAATCGAAGAGATTCAATATCTGCGTTAGACTTCTTGAAGAAAGATTGATGAAACGAACCAGATGTTACGGAAACGCGAATTTAGAAGCGGTTCTGATAAGCGTGAATAGAAGAAGAACGAAAGAGAGCAGAGTGACGCCTTTCCGATATCAAAGGCGATTCTGTTCGAAATTAAAAATCCCAGGGGTCGTTCTATTCCGTCCAACTACTCGAAATTCGCAAGAGAAATCTCGAAACCAGACTTCCTGGTTGATTTCGTAGCGACAGGATCGAAAAGGATCGAAAACGTCGTCCGACGTAGGTGTCGTCCTGTCGTCCGTGATCGAGAACGTATATATCGATATCACTGACATTTTTTTAATAGTAATTGATACAAATTTTCATTACATTATTTTGCAGATGTCACGTGTCATATAACTTTAATACAGAGAAAGCCTGAGTGAATCTAGTTTGAGTCTAGTTTTATGACAGAAAAGTATTGCAAAATGGTACTTATGGCATATCAATTTAAAGCTTAAAGCTTGGCGAAAATATCTGCATAAAATCCTCATTGATTTTAATAAAAAATGGCGGGTTGTTCATTAGAGTGAATGCTTTCGTGTTATATGTCACTGTTCAATATCGAAATATAAAATGTCGAAAAAGATTCATGACGTAAAAGTATCTGAAAATGATATCTATAGTATGTCAAATTAAAGCTTGAACCTTTACAAAATAACTGCAAAAGTTAACCATTAATCATTTGGGTACAGAATGAGTGATTGCTAATTATAGTAAATAATGCTTTTATGTACCAAATATTCAATATTAACACATTAAAGTCGAAGACAATTTCATGACATAAAAGTATCTTAAAATGCTGTATATTATATATCAAATTAAAGCTTGAAACTTTACGAAAATAACTGCATAAACTACTCATTAATGGTTTAAGTACAAAATGGGTAATTGCTAATTGTAGTAAGTATTGCTTTCGTATGATATATTAGCTATTCAATGTCAAAATATGAAAAATCAAAGACAATTTCATGACATAAAAGTATCTCAAAATGGCACTTGCACTATACCAAAATAAAGCTTAAAGCTCGAGGAAAATAAGTATATTTATACCCTGTTCATATTTTTAATATAAAATGACTTTTAGTTAATTATAACAAACCACCTTGTTGTATTACATATCAATTATTGAATTTCAAAACAAAAAGTCAAATACGATTTCATGATATGAAGGTTTTGTAAAATAGTACCGTTACTGAATCAGTGTGAAGCTCGCCCTCTTTTAGTGTTTTTATTAAAAGAATTTAAAAAATCAGTCAAAGGTAATTATGAAATTATTGTGCACTGAATAACTGAATTGCAAATCTGAAGTCTGAAGAAAATTCATCAATTTAAAGCTTAAATCTTATATAAATACTCTCAAAATAACCTTAATATTCTTAGTTATGTGCCTCGAAATTGAATAGATCAAAATGCAAATCGCTTTAATCATATTTACTTTAAGCAAGAATTAGTAAAATCTCTGTTATAAATATTGACAAAAGTTTAATGTGCATATATTTGACACATTTCAAGCTTAAAATGAATAAGTAGCATAAGTGTTATTTTATAGTATTTTTATATCACGAATTCATCTTACACTTAAAATTTGACAAATTGAAGAATTGATATGACATACAACTGCACTGTTTTCTACAATTAACGATAAGCCATTTCATGTTAAAAACGTCGAAAGGACATTACTACGATTATCTTCGTGAAGCTTAATGCTCATATTTGACATAATACAAGCGGTATTTTGTGATACTTTCATGTCAATCGTCTTAGCCTTTCAAAGCTTTGAAGTACCACTTGCACATTGGCTTTCCTATCAAAAAATCACGCAATAGATTAGACTGTACCAAATTCATACTACAGTACTAACAATAACTAGAATTAATTATCCCATAAGTTAAATTTCTATAGCTTGAAAGACACATAAAAGTAGACATCGATTTGTCAGATAGAGCAATATTGTCAGCAAAAGATTTGTCAGTGATATCGAATATATCTCGACCGAAAGAAGATGGGTCGATCACGTCCCTATCTATCGTCGTCGAAATGAAATAAACGCGTGACAGTCACCGTTCAGTGTCGATAGATCTAAATGTGTCATAGAACGCAATCCTCCGGAAATCAATCAAAGAGTTGGCGCGGCTCCGGTGTATGTGTACATACATACATAATATAAAAGATAGATAGACAGAGAGGAAGAGATAGATAGACAGATAAATAGAATAAGATACATGTCGTGTACAAGTCGACAGAACCAACGGAAGAAGAGAAACGAAAAGAACAAGGTGTGTCTGGCTGGTGTGATACGCAGGCAAGGCATGCAATGAGTTACGTTACCTAAGGTGAGCTTCTCCCCAGAGTCTGGCGGCAAAGTGAAACCCAGAAGAGCCATGCTCGATATCAGCACACACGGCACGATCAGGTTGAAAAAATAATACAGGGTCCTCCTGCGAATTTGTATGGTGAACGTCACGTCTACGTATGGCTCGGGACAACACTGGTACGTTATCGTGTTCTTCTTTCCTGGCATTCCTGCAACAACAAATTACTTCGTATGTAGGAAATTCGTTTTTTATTAACGATTTAAAGGTGCAATATACAAGATATGACAAGATTAATGTGAGATCTCTTTCATAACAATTATGGTATGTGTGGAAAATGAGGATGAGTTTGGGAGAATTAAATTTCATTATTAGTTACAATTCGGTTTTGATTTCACGGTTATATATTAAATGATTTATGTCCTGTTTTGTATTATAGAAATAGTTGCATGATGTATTACGATTAAATGATAAATCTCTTCCTGCATTGAGACAATCAATGGGAATAGCAGTATAATATTGACAATTATTATAATGAATAAATTAAATAATACAGCAATGTCATTTTTTATTTATTTGTAGTTAGTATTATAAACTAGTTGTAAATGATTATAACTTGATTCGCAATCCATGTTAAGCAGAATTAAAAAAATTGAAAATATTCTAACAAGTTAATTTAGGAAAAAATTCAAACTATTAGACGGATCAAAATTTTTAAATAAAATTAATATTGTCATTCAAATTAAAAACAAATTTTTAAACAAATATATATGTTTTGTATTTGTACTTATAACTAATAAAATTTAATTTACATATTAGATAATGAAGAAAGATTGTAAAAGTTATGATAATTAATCATATGTTTGACTTCATTTGTAAAATTAATATTAACTGGTTCGAATACGATTTTAATTAGTTCCAATAAGTTTTAATCACTTTTAGTTGCTTTTAATCTAATCGGTTTTAGTCAATTCTAATTGGTTCTAGTTCAATTTAATCAATTTTGACAATTTTAATTGATTCCAGATAGTTCTAGTCGATTTCATTCAATTCTAATACATTTTAGTTGTTAATTGATAAACTAATAAGAATACAAGAAGGCGAAATCGAGATTAGTTAATTTATATAATATCGTTTGAATATAAATTGTACAAATTTACAAATTGAATTTACATAATATATATAACGCAAAAATCTTACCGATAATCGTCGAACGAATACAATATATCCCTTGTAAGTGCGCGTCAGATCCTTCTTGTTTCATCAACACACAATTTAACAATGAATATTCGGGCCTCGCTCGAATGTTCGCGACGCGCTCGGGCCTTTCCGACGTTCCCCGAATTCTACCCTTATCAACCATAGTGGCAAGATCGCCAGCTAGGCATCGTTTCTCAGAAATTTACAAATGTATTTCGCTCGCGCTTTCTTCGCTCTCCGTTATATTATAAATAAATTTATCGCTACCTTCGCAATGACAACACAATCGCACACAATTCACAACGTAACGATTAACCATGATTATTTTACATTCAGAACACACATAACCCAAACTTATACAATTTCACTTAAAATCTAAATAAAACTAAACAATTCTTTGGGAAGTATTTAACATTAGTTCTGATGAAAAAATTCGATGAAATAACTGGTATGCTCACATGTAGTTGCACACACAGAGCGTTACTCTGACATGGCGCACGATTTTTCACCCACTTGTAGCTATCTGATAAAAAGTTTAAAATGCGAGTTACAGAGTGCAGAGTGTACAATAAATCTCAGTAAAAAAACAATTCGAAAACAGTTTGTTTTCACGGCAAAATCAAGGTTATCGTCGAATTTACAAGTAAAAGCACACTTTTTTATCTTATTGAATATCGAAGTGAATTTTAAATATTACACGATACTCTTACTAACGTATTATTCGATTTACAATAGCAGAAATATTTAGTTTTTTAATATATTTAATTTTAAGACAATGCAAATAATATTTGACATCCAAGAGATTACTGAATACAAACAAGTAACTAAAACATAAAAATCTTTATTTAATTATATATTCGAAATGCTTCCGTGACGAAAATAACATGTCAATATATTAGCAATGTGTTATTAAAAATATAATGTAATATGTAACGAATTTGTTTTGATGTTCTCTACAATATGCTAAAAAGAAAAATGTGTTCCTATTTGTAAATCGAGTGACCTATTTTGCGAAGAAGACAAACCGTTTTCCGAAATTTCTTTTACTGACGTAAATTGTACACTCCATATCCCGAAACTCTTGTTTTAAACTTGTGTTTGCTGGATGACTGCAAGAGGGTGAAGAATCGTCCTTTGCGATAAAGAACACCTTCTACAAGTTGCTACTTTATGTTTTGAACATTTTTTATATTGGCTGCTAATTCTGTATTTAATATAACCGATATTAATATTAATTCTATATTTAATATTAACTATAATCTGCAGTTGCAACGTTAATAACCTTTTCAGTGAGCATTTTTCATAAATGCAGCAGTAGTACGGTGCAGAAAGCTACATTTATTAAAAATATTTGTGTAAACCGAGTTTCAAAATGATCGGAGGTTAATTTGTCAGGTTTCGAAGCGAAACATGAACATTTGCGTTAAATAAGTTTTCTTTATTCTCAGCATGAAAATTTGGTAGTTTGTTCCATGAAACACGTTAGCGAAATTCATGTAATATGAGAATGTGAGATATGTTCGGTGTAATGTGAGAATTAGCTATACTTCATTGTGCTTGGTGTAAAAAATATTTATGTTTCAAGCACTTTTTGAAGGAATTTTATTATTGTAACTAAATCGAATAAATTATTTTGAATCGTTACTATAGTACATTATAGTGCTTCAACTATGCTCATGTACTTCTTGTTATTGTATATTATGTGTAAATGTATTGTAATTTTATAGTTGTATAAATATGACACGAAACATGTGTAGAAGTGATTCTTATTACAAAGGTTATCAAAATTGCAACTATAAAGTGAAATAAATTCTATTCATAAGCTTTTTAATAAGCTTTTTTAATAAGCTTTTATGTAATAAACAAGCAGAAAAATATATAAGAGATCTGTTCTTATTATTAAATATATAAGAGAACTTTTATCAATTCATAATATCTGTATTTCTCTCGCAATATTATTATTTCACTATTACCGTCGCCATACTAATTTCTAATCGAATTTAATAAAAGGAATTTGTAAGAGCACAATTCTGAAATACGGGAAACCATTGAAAGCGCGAATATAATCATAAAAGAAATAACCATGAGAATCCCCGACCACTCATGATTTCGTTCCCCACAAATAAAATCGGAAATTTTACGGCTACGTTTATAGTCGCGTAAAAATTTTAACTGTCCTCGGTGACTAAGCGAAAAAAAAAGATTAAAAAGAAAGCAAAATGGCTGCGACACAGCTGGTGTGAATAGTAGAAATTTAATAAAGGATGGCCAACAGTGCATTGACTTCCGTCGAGTAAGAAAGGTCGTGTTAATGGTTGTATTCACAATAACATTTTTAAACGTTTCCAATTATCAGACCACCGCTGTAGCTCGATAATTTGAATAAGAAAGTACCCGACTCGCTTGTTGCTACACCTGTGGGACACTTTTGGCTCACCTACTTCTGCATGTAATATAGATGCTGGTATACTGGCGATGGTGGGTTACTCTAGGGAAAAGGTTAATATAGGGAAAACAGGATCGACAAGTTGTTGGTATTTGATTAGCAGTTTCAAATATAGAACTAGAAATTACGACATCAAACAAGTTGAAAATTTTGGAGGTTAGGAATTATGGAAAATTGGGAATTTAAGGATTCGGAAATTAACAAATTTAAGGACTTAGAATGGGACTTTGAGAGTTTGGAAATATTAGAAATAGTTATTTCTTTAACCTGCAACAGTAATTATCTTGCTTGCTATATTTGTTCTATCTATTTGCAATATTTTCTCTGTCTGTTTTATCTGCTACATTTAGTGTATTATTTAAATTCGCTACATTTGCTATGTTTGCTATGTTTGTTATATTTGCTATGCTTTTTAGATTTGTTATATTGTATATGTGTGTTATATGTGCTATATTTGCAATAATTACTATATGTTATAAATTTTTTGTATTTTTTTATATGTACTATATTTGCACTACTTGGTATATTTTCTATATTTGGTACATTTGCTATATTGTTTATATTCATTACATTTGCTCCACTTGCATTATCTTCTCAGTATGCTCCATTTGCATATTTCTACGTATAAAATAGACATTTGTAATCAATGAAATTATTTCAAATATTCTTCAGAAATTCAAAATAAAACGAAACTACCAAAAAATAGCAGACAATTTTTATCAATTTTTTGCATTAAATCTCAGAACAGAAGGCAATTTCCTCGAAAAAATACGTTCTGTTTGGTACATCGAGTCAATGAAACGTAAAGGCATGCCGATGGAAATCGTTAAGGAAGCTACATTTCCGTTATCCTACGACCACGAAGAGGATCCAGAGCAACGAAGATCTCACACTGTTTCCGTTTTACGAGCCGGTCTATCCGACGATTCCTTCGATTTCTCGTGGCCATTTTCGTGCTCTTCCTCGGCTTTCGTCGATGATCTTCTCACTCTATAGAAAACACGATCGTGAAAGTTGCAAGGTGTCTTCCGCTTCTTTCTTCGAAAGCTCATCCGCCGCGTTCTTGGCATATGAAAGCACGCGGCAAGGAATTCGAAATGCGGCGGATGAATAATGAAGAGAGGAGAAGGAAATCTTGGCGAATATGCTGGCGTGAAATTGCATTAATAAATTTAGGTTTCTTTGACACGGCCAGGGTGCAACGTAGCGCGACACGACCCTATAACCTGAATACCGTTCTCCCTTTACGACCGCCGAGAATTTTCAACGATAACACCTTCGGTGCTGAAAGGAAACTTGAAAAAGTGCAATAGCGTCCATAAGTAGATCAGGACACTTGTTTCTCTCACTGCGTTTTTGTATTTTTGTTTGTAATCGATCATGTATGCATCGCTTAAATACCAAGGAGTCAGATATCATTTACGTTTATGTAAGTCCGTTAAATATAAATAGATTAAATATTAATTGGTGAAATATAATTTGTAGATTAAATATTAATTGTTTATATGTAAGTTAGTCAAATATGAGTAGGTCCAATATTAGTTACATATAAGTTGGTCAAGTAACTGTCGGTCAAATATCAAACAGTTACATTTAAGTTTGTTAAAAATTAATTGGTTATATATAAGTTGATCACATACAAAAAAATCTAATATTAAATTAGTTATATATTGATTACCCAAGTAGTTTAAGTCCCATTCATAATTAGTTACATATAAATTTATCAAAAAATAATCGATTATAATAAGTTCCTCAAATATGAGAACGTTAAATATCAATTTGCTATATATAAGTTGATTAAGTACAAGTACGTCGAATATTAATTAGTTAAATAGTCAGTCAAACACAAATAGGTTAAATATCAATTGGTCATGTACCGGTTGACCAAATATGAGTACGTCGAATATTAATTGGTTAAATACAAGTCAGCCAAACACGAGTAGGTTAAATATCAAGTGGTCACATACCGGTTGACCAAATATGAGTACGTCAAATATTAATTGGTTAAATACAAGTCAGCCAAACACGAGTAGGCTAAATATCAAGTGGTCATAAACCGGTTGACCAAATATGAGTACGTCGAATATAACTTGGTTACATATAAATTAGTGAAGTACAACTAGGTTAAATATAAATTAGATATAATGTAATAACGTCAAATATAAGTAGGTCAGATAATAATAGAAAAAAATTGATCTAACGTGAATTCAGTAAGTACGAATAGGTCGAATTCGAGTAGGCGAAATTCATAATCGATCAAACACGAATGCGTTAAAAATGAATCAATTGACTACAAATCGGTGAAACACGAATAGGTTAAAATCGTATCAATTAACTACAAATCGGTCAAATACAAAGTGGTAAAGTACAAATTATCAATTACGAAATGGTAAAATACAAATTAGTGAAATAAAAAGTACCAAAGTGCAAATCAGTGAAGTACGAAATGGTAAAATACAAATTAGTGAAATAAAAAGTACCAAAGTGCAAATTAGTCGAGTACACCATGGTAAAATACAAATTAGTCAAATAAAAAGTAATAAAATGCAAATTAGTCAAGTACAATGTGGTAAAATACAAATTAATCAAATAAAAAGTACCAAAGTGCAAATTAGTCAAGTACGAAGTGGTAAAGAACAAATTACTCAGATACAAAGTGGCAAAATACAAATTCCTCAAATACTAATGACTCAGATGCAAGTGATCAAATCACAAAACTGAGATCTCACATTAACTAGCCAACGTCCCATACCAAACTTAATACAATACTCTTCCTTCAAATCACCAAAATGAAACAGAAATAACACAAACATGATTAATTAAAATTTGAAATTGACTTACCGATAAGGTACCATTCCCCGTTCGTAATGAAATCGGACAGATCGCCACCAGTCTCCGAACTGAGCACCAAATCGACCTGCCAAAACGAAAATTCAATTACAGCAGACATGTTCCTGCATTCGATTACACAGCAAAAAGCTAATATACATGCTTCAAAAATAAAATAATTTTTGCGTGTTGCTTTGCTTCCGCATTAGTGCAATCTATCGCTAAGTTCGCAAGTGCACAGTGTCACATCGATTCGTGCAAGAGGAATAAATAAAAAGAGGAGTCGAATAATTGACACAGATTGAGTCTTGGTTTTGTAAAATAGATAACTATTTAAATCCTGGATTCGAACGGAAGTTCGAAACGACGGTCGACATTTGTGGAACCTCTTAATCCTCTTTTATATCGTATTCGCTTATTCTCCCCGAATCGCTAAAGGAAACTTCGTTCTCGAATTTCTGTCGCTGTCTTTTGTTCCCTCGATAAAATTGAAACGCGTCGAGCATTTCCAATTGATTTTATGTCACGTTCCGACGATTTTAAGATCTCACCGCTTTTCACAGTTCTGTACACGTAGTCTGCTTCAAAAGCAATGAGATTACACGTTTGAATTTTACATAGCATGTTTAGAGAAACAATTTGACAAATTAAAAATATTACAAAAGCATAATTGCAAAAAATTATATTATTAAACAATTATTAAATTAAAATTATTATACAATTTTTTTAATATTCGTGTAAAATAATGAAACTGAAATTGAATATTTCTGTAGAACAATAAAACTGAAATTAAATTTCTGCAGAACAATTATTTGCAACAGAATGCATTCCTGTAATATAACAGTAAATATTTCTAGGACGTTAAGTACACGTGCTGTTACACGAAGTTATCAGATATTTTTGTACAATAATAAAACTGAAATTAAATATTTCTGTACAACGATTATTTATAATAGAATACGTTTCTGTTGAAAATAGTTAATATTCCTTATAAACGTTATTACACGAAGTTATTAAATAAGTTTGTAGAACAATAAAACTATAATTAAATGTTTCTGTAGAACAATTATTTGTAGTAGAATACATTTCTGTTATAAAATAGTTAATATTCCTCGTGCATTAGGTACACGTGTTATTACACGAAGTTATCGTTTATTTTAATCCTAAAACAGTAACGCGATATTATTGAGAATAATACATTGTATTTTATCATATTTGATATGAATATGGGTATCTAATTTATTGCAAATTTGACTATATTTAATATTCGTAGAAATATGTATTGCATGTTCCATTATATTCCGTATGTACCAGAATGTGAAATATATTACAGGTTTTATCACAAGAGATGTAATACATTAAACATTTTGTTATAAATTTTAATATAATAAAATGTATCAAGCAAACATATCAATGTATGAATATTAAAATATGTCAATAGAATATATTGTTAAAATTTTTTTATTACATACAGTGTTATATTTTCTATTACAATAAACTGTTGCATTAGTAAATTTAGTATATTATATAATAATAAAATATATCAACAAAATGAATACAAAATATAAAAAATATATCAATGTATTTCATCATACTAAATAAATATTTATAACATAACTTTATAAGTCGTTATCAAGTATAATATTTTATATAAAGTTAATTAGACTAGCTAAGATAGTTGCTATCACGTACGACACCATTTCTGCTTTATAGTCAATCAAAACGTCCACTTCAGCAAATGGCTTCTATAAGAGATTTTATTTCAGTATACTATAACTGTATAATTATAGAGAAGAGATTGCTCATTATTTTTGCGAGCAGACAACGTTATTATATCCGCATAAAGTTCTCGTTGATTCTTTCTTATCATTCTGAAGCTTCTTTCAATCCGAAGGAACAGCATGGAACAAGGAAACTTCCGGTGAGGATACTTATTCCGTGCTCGAACGCTTTTTAAACGGTTTCCCCGGTTTCCTTTAAACCCCTGTTGCTCTTTGATCGAGAGCCAAACGAGATGCGGTCTACCATTTCAACTTTTACGACCGGTATTTCCATCCTCGAGGCTCATCGGAATTACTTCGGGAAGCTTGATCGTTTAAACCGATTCGTGTTTACCGCCGTCAGAACAGATTTGTTTGCTAGCAATAAAATTTCATATACTGCAAGAAACCTCGAACAGATTAGCATTATTCCATTACCTTCCGTACTGAAAAATGAATTATAGCGACGGAGCGAAAGAAATTCGAGAACCATACTCTCCTTGCAGGAATTACTACACTGGATTTTAATAAATAATATAAATAACAAAGCTCAGTAAAGTATGATGATATAAATACAGTGTTCAGCTTGAAGTTGACTTCTATATTTACTTGACGATTTTCACTCCTCATAAAAGTATTACTATAATAAGTGTATTAAAAGAATTATGCTAGAAAAATTAAATTAAAAAATTTCATATATGTAATACAATTTTGAATGAACCTTGATGTACATATAAAGTAAACAGTTGTAATGTACATAGTATTAATTTTGTAGTACAAATTTCACTCATATTTTTATTAAAATTTATATATTTATATTATGTGTTCATACGGTCAATCATCTGATACAGGGTGTTTCAAAGAAGTTAATCATCAGCAAATTGCAACTTGTACATGCAGTAGCAAATAAAAAGTTGTTCGACGATTTTCTACTTTTTCCACACGAAAAAGTTGCAATTTCTTAAATGAACAATATTTTTAAAACACTCTGTATGAGTAATCAGATTATGGGTGATATTCAAGCTACCAGTAAATTCGTGCAAGAAGAGAAAATTTTAAAGTACAAAAAAATTCCTAATAAAATTATTCCACACATAGAATAAGAAAAATTTGACGTATTGAATTCAAAAGATATTCTGCACGTTCAGTTCGGAAAATATTTCGCATTTTATTAGGGAAAATATTTTAGCCATGAATTTGATCGTGTATCGAAAATATTATATTTGCACTCTGTTCGAAAAGATTAATTGGAAAAAGACCCAATACTGTCTCAGATTTATCGACGCATGCACGATGGTGAGATTAATCGAAAATTGGCGACAAGAAATAATTTCCGGACAAAAATAATGGCAGTATACAACCACCGTAAATTCTCCAATTTAATCGACATAATCCCCAAGCCATTGATCGACGTATTCAATCGCTGGCTGAGAATTAACCTTTCCTCGAATGTAATCGCGTTTCGGAATAATTACTAAATCCCTGGCGCGATTTGCGCAGCGAATAGGGAGCCACCGATCGAGGATTAACGATCTGGTTGCTGTGAAACGCGATTAAACGATGAAGTTTTCAGCCGAGGATACTTTTACGGAGAATATACATATTCCTGAAGCATTTGCATCGTTAAAAAGCTTGGAGGGTTCGTAGCGAGGGCAATTCGTGTCCTCCATATTGTAAACACAGATTCACTCGGAGAACATTTTTACTCTGGGGTCATTTTCGTATGTTGTTTCAGGGACTTGGAATGTTTATGTAAAGTATGGGCGCTACTCTGATATTTTAATAATAGCACCCCTACTGTGGGGGTCACAGATGGCCCTTCAAATTTGATATAATTGACAATTTTTAATAATCGGATTCTAGTGATAATGTACTCGAAAATTAATTATTTTATTTTAAGAAATTGATGTAGCCATTTAAAATTTTTAAGTCGTTAATTTTGAAGTTGTTAATTTCAAATTTGTGTTGTGGGTCATAGGTGACTTCCACGTTTAATAAATTAAGCCATAATTTTTGTTTTTGGGGTGTACGCCTGGGACAGTTCTAAACAGGGTAAATTGTATACACGTCTCAAAAAAATGCACACCATCAAAAACTGAGTCATTAAACACATGGAATAATAACAAATTTTCATGGTATATGAAAAGTTATTCATTAATTTGTAATCTGTTAGTTTATTTAATATTATGATTTCAAAAATTTGCCATATATAGAGTGGATCACGTATTCGCTAGATAAGGTATCATCACTCGTATACAAAACTATCACTCTGTGCGAACAGTATCCTAAGATTTCAAATATATCAGAAAAATTCAGACTCATTTTTAAAATTGAAAACGTAGAGTCTTCAAAATATGATGAACTATTTGAGAATCCCTTGTGATGTCAAAAACTGTCAGCATTCAAATATGCAATACACTGTTTAACAGTATAAAAGATAATTAAGTACATTAATTCGAATCCGAAATATTAAAATAAAAGCCAAATATAGTTTTAATGGTGTACACCGTTTGTGAGTCAGCCTGTACACAAAATTGAAGACAGAGGGGAATACATGCACCTACAAATGTATATTAATTGCACATCGATCGAAGTATTTACATAAACGTGTTAACACATAAACACGTGTACATGCGACACATACATACATTCACACGCACGCACACATGTTGTACATTAAATATACTATAATTAGCCGTTCGATCATCGAATGTTGATTCTTTGTGATGTACAAGTGGGGTGGTGAGGTTGGTTGGCTAAGGGTCGGTGAAACGGGCTTCAAATCAGTATTACAGGGTTCGTGTGAACGGTGTTCGAGAACAACTTCCTTCCTGATTTTCTCTACGCTTAGAATGAGGTTGGGGTCATGGGGGACGCGTTAATATGCGACATAGTAATCGATGAAATGCGCTCGGACTGCATTTTACACGAGCTTACGATGGCAGCTGTTCGGAAACTCGCTGTATCTGGTAATTTTTTGTTTTTACAGATAATTGATTATTCGCGTGTTTGTTTATGGTGCATTATTTGCAACCTGATTTTTTATTGATATCAAATTAATTTTTATTAACGCATTAATTGTTAACGAAAAATAAATAGAAAACTGAAAGTGATGATAAATAAAATAATAAGGGACATCGTTTAATTTAATATATCATTGATACGTTATAGATATATTGTTCAATTTGATACATCACTGACATATCATTCAATTTGATACACCACTGACATACATTTATTTTTGTACATCATTGATATATCATTTAATTTAATGTATCACTTAGTTGATTAATTTGATTGGTTAAGTGATCATATATTTTAATGAAAT